TCTTCTCGCATATATTTGCTGCACATATGCTGCTAAAGGAAAATATGCAATCCTGCCACAACTTTGGTGTTTAAGGGGCTTTGAGTAATTCTCTCACATTTAGGAAAAATAAATTGGTACAAAATGTAATGGTTGCTCATGATGTAGATTTGGATGGTACTAAACCTTTTATTTGTACTGCCTATGATTTTAGACCAATTTTAATTTTACTTAAAAGTATAAAGTACAGAGAAAATTGTGATGTTCAAAAAGCAATAAGAGACAACTTATATACTCTGAAATCCAGGGTACGTAAAACAGTCTTGTTTACAAAGGTCTAGTAAAAATTGGTGTAATCTGTGTTAAAATCTTAAGTCCTTGTTTTTTTTTTTTTTTTTTTTTTTTTTTTTTTTTTTACTGATACAAGACCAGATAATAGAGAACATCAAGAAACTGAAAACAACAATTTCACCCCAAAGTGCTGACATCATCAACAAAATGACCATACTGTACTGGTCTTCCTTTCATGTAGGTCCGCCATGTTTAGGTTGCGGCCTTACTAGCACATAGGACTGATGTGACTGGAATGATAGTCCTAGAAATGGAAGCCTGGGGTAGGTACCATATGATTAGTACAGGTTAGGGTTAGTCAGAGTACTGGGACAAATGTCACCTGTACAAAGTAGTGGGGAAAAGTCTATGACTCCTAGTGGACTACCATTCTTGTGACACCAGGATTCTGAGCAAAATGTGAGGCTTAACATGATGCAATTTTCATTTTCCATTTTATCCTCCATGGGCCTCAACTTACACATTCAAACCCATTGGACTTTGACTGAAATGAACTGCATATACACCTGGAAACATTTTGAAAAGGACATCATGAGAAGATAATTGACTGTAATTTGAATTATATTTATTTAAAAATGGTTTTCCTTTGGATTTGTCAACTTACAAATGTGGGACAGATTGTTGTGAAAAAATGGGAAATTATTAGCAGTGTAACGACTGGAATTATTATGAGGTATAGAAATGTTAATGGTTTTTGGCATCAACAAAAATATAATTTCATTTTTATTTATGGGCCTTACATAACTATAAAGATAAGCACATTCCCATGCCATTCACTATCTCCTAGAAGTGGATCATACTGAGCATATGATGAGCATACTCATCATCTGCAGAGAAATCCCCTCTGTCAACCTCAGATTCATTGTTACTGTCATGGTTTTGAATGTTCATGTCACTTTCAAACTATGTGGATTCTAAGGTGTACTTTTGGCTCAAGATGCTAAGGAAAAATTTCTATATCAACGGCTATGTCTTCAAAAGCATGAAAAAAATGCTCTGAGGTTACCAGATCACAAGATTTTATGCTAGCGGGGTTAGTCATTAAGTCGTTAAGGATATTGTCGCCCTTCTCCCAAAACTCCTCATTTACTGCCTTACATATATTCTTTTGGGTAATAGTCCAGTGACTAAATTAATTAACATCTACACATATGTCATTTTATGGGTGATGTCATAATTGTGATTTGGGGTAAAAAACGAAAAAAATGGTTTCTCAAATTTCTCTTTTACTTGATCACTCATGATCACAGTTATAATGCTGATTTAATGACACCATTTAGTACTCCAAAACCCTGCCAGTGGTTTTTTAAGTCTTAGTTCAGATTTATCATTGATAAAGCAAAATAATGCCTTTGTTTAATGAAAATCTGTAATAAGGGGCTCATAACTCCATAACAAAAATATTTAAACCAAAATGACACCACGGATTGTAGCCCATACGCTCTTGGTCAACTCTGCCAATTTTTGTGAAAAAAAAAATCTTGTTCTGGGATGAAGTTACACACATACTGATTGCTATCTCACTTCAAAACAGAAAGGTGTTAAATTGATGATTAAAGCTTTCAGTTGCCCATGCTTATACATTGCAACAAGAAATATAAATGCCAATATTTTATATTTTTGAATGTTTATTTATTGTTTTAAATCATCACAAAGATAGATGCATTACTGAATAATTTCATGCAGAAAAAATCTCATTTTTGGTATCTGGATAATAATAATAAAGGGTTACGATACCTATAAAGAATTGATTAGACAGGAAAATGGCTTCAGGAGGATTTGAACCCCTCAGGTAAGAAAAGTGAATGGCCATGGGTTGTTATCAGGAGTTTGGAAACTCATATTACAGGTAGATAATGACACCTCAGTTTGATAGCTTAACCTGTTTGTTCCCTCTGCCTGTGAGATGGTATGATCATGCACCTGTCATCCAACCATGTGACTGCATAGCTCATTAACTACCAGACCTAGCGAAAAGAACACATTTAAAGCTCGATATTTAAAAAAAGGAAATTCCAGTTTGAATATTTTGATAAAGAAATCATAAATTGGGCATGTTTTCTACATTATATGCAACATTCAAATCATTCATATAGTAGTCTGTTGCAAATTCTATAAATATGTTTTTATGAGAAAAGAATTATTTGGATTTTCAGGATACGAGACAGCAGGGAATATTTAATTTCACAGTTATGAAAAATGATTGTCACTTTAAACATTTAGATGCATGTATCATTCAGAGAAACAAAGTATGTCCATCAGAAAAACCATGAAGTCCCTAATTCTCTAGGCACTTGAGTATTCTCTAGAAATTTCTTTGAATTGAGGCCCTGTTACTGTCAGAAGAACCTCTGCTGTTGTAGACGTTAAAGCAGTGCAGTCTAAAAATAATGTCTTCCTATTAAATAAGATATACTCCTGGAATATATTTTAACATTTAACTTTTTTATTTGAATGAATTATTTTTGCTGTACTATGCTAAAAGGCAAATGGTGCTTCATTATTACTATATGTACGTATTTTGGAAAAGAGTATTCTAGAGAAATGATGAGGTATGTTCTATGTATTTTTCTTTACAAAACATTATATAACTCCCTATTTTTGACTGCCTGATCAACTTAATTTTTTGACACTATTGTTTTAAAGATAAAAACAAACATCAACTCACAAAGGATTATTTTATAGAACAAAGTAACATAAGTACAAGAGCTACATGTAGTATATCAATTTATTTCAATCATCCTTAACAGTTTTCTTTTTTTGAAGGACATCCAAAATGTTAGCTTTGAGACCGTCAAGAGTTTTAGATTCCCTTGCACCTTAAGGACTTTAAGATTCCCTTTCACCATTTTGCAGTATAAGATACATGTATCCACGCACAGTAACAGACATACTAATCAAAAAATTTTGAACCATAAGCTCCCAAGAGATCTGTGTGTTAATCTAATATAGGTATTACTTACAGAAGAAAAGGTCTTGCAAATGGCAGTTGCATTAGGTAACTACTCATTGAAATTGGTATTTTGCATGTTTTCTTCAGAAAATTATGACTTGTGTTGAAGTATATTTTCATGTCTATTGTTGATTACAGTTGTGGTGGATACATCATAGATATATGTTGTTTATACTTCTATTTGGGTGGCATATAATCATATTTCTCTTTACAGTGAATTTTTCTGCATTGATGGATATGTGCATTAATGGTTGCATTTTAATTTCTCGTGTCTCTTATATTACTGTTAAATTTTGCTTCTGTCAAGTTGATCAAGAGTTACAGGGTTAATACACAAAAAAGTCTTAAAAGTAGCTTTTGATAACTGGGAAATGGTTGATAACTGGTTTAGTATCGTAAGTTAGCTGGAGTATGGTGAACTGATTGATTTTTTTTCTCAAAGTGACCCATATTTTAGTGTAATGCAATGCCCTTGAAAAATGTATTATTTTAATTCCTTAATAAATGGTGAGGTTATTTATATCATATCATCTTGTAATATTAGTAGGATATCCCTGATAATGGTCGTCTAACATCATTCAACTGTCTTTGATCCAACAGCTGCTTTGGTTAGATACATATGATGTCATCAGTAATGAATTACTCCCAAGCAGACAATAAACAATGGACTCAACTACCCATTGCTGTTTCCTTGATTCCAGACATTGTGTCATTTAGGTTGAAGCAAAGATCACACTTAATTTGAATGAATTGCATATCTGAAGTGTAATGATGTTGAAGGAAATCTAGGACTATTTTAGTCATTTTGGTCAATGAGGAGAGATGCAATCTATATGTCATATAATTTGAACATTTTGGATTGTCTTTTTCGACATGTACAAGCTACAATCTAGAGGAATTTCTTGTTATATTCATAATGCCTGTAAAATTTGTTTCTCCTCACATGATCTAATTACAGAGCTTTTAAAGGGGCATGACAAAGAAAAAAATTTTTCATTATTCGAACACAACTATATTAATTGGGAGGGAATGCAATGATTTTTACATTCATATGCAATTTTTGCAAGGTAACATAATGATTTTTAAGTTTGAACGCAATATTTTTAAGGGAACACAATCATTTTTATCTTGGAAGACAATATTTGCAATGGGACGCAATCATTTTTACATAAGAATGCGATCTTAATCTTTCACTCAAAGATGGTGACAACCTCGTCTTAATGTAACAATTACATTCAAAGGTTGAATTTTTTTTCTTTTGCTCCGTATCTAATTACATGTGTCATTTCATTGGTGGCTGAAGCCCTGACTTAATTTCATTAGACATAATACCAAATATATTAGGGGTAATTTGGAAAGAAGAAGTTATCATCAGAGTCAGGCTAACTGCACATAATAAAATTAACAAACCTGTTATTATATAGGTATGTTGTTATTTATACAGCATGTCATCATATGGTGTAATAAAGTCAACTTGTTATTTTACTGACCTTTGGATTAGTGAATATAATGCTTTAAAAATTGCTCTTGGGGCAATCATGATATTCACAATGTGTTAAAGCTGATGTCAAGGTACGTATGCTTTGACAATTGGTAAATAGACATTTAAAATATTCTAAAATATAGGATGGGTTATTGAATGTACAGTATTTGTGCATTCATCTATGAGTTAAGTTTGATATGATTTGGTATAACTTATATTATCTGTTCTTTTCAGCTGAATGTCAAATTCATCAAGACAAGGCATAAGATATGTGCGATTGAGAATGGCTTCCAATAATGAGTTGGATGTTGACACAGATGGAGAGCCAAGTGGTTCTCACATTCTCTCACATGAAGAAGTAGAGATGACCCATTTGATGGCAGATGTTGAGACAAGCAAATCTGGCATTGATGCCAAGGGGAATAGTTTGGCCAGGCAGCGAGCCAAAGCACCGGAATCGGACCATGACTGGCACCAATATGGTATGAAATGTCTTATCTTTTTAGATTACGTTAAACCTAAAGTAGATAAGTATCTGTTGAACACATTTTTTAACTCTCAGAATTTCAAATTACAATAAAAACTTCACATGGGAATGGAGCCACTGTGAAGATTTGTTTGTAACATTTTGTTTGGCATTTGTATTTATCATGAAAAGGGTCTGCTGGAGGCTGATGGTACTCAACAAATAAGGGTTTTGTGTTATAAAATCGATCTTCTGCTGTGCTGGTCTTTCACCTCCATATCTGGGAGCAGCAGATAGCACTTAACTCCAGGTTATGAACTTCAATTAATGCAATTATCTTATTGGGTGGAACACATCGTGACCATGGTGACTTTTAAAGAGCACTGTTTGTGGGAAGCTTTATGTACATATGCTGTCTTTTGAAGGAATTCTGAAGGAACACTTTAATGGACCAGGGAAAAAATAGAAACTAGATGACTGTAATACTCACACTGAAGCCATTGGAGTGCATTGTACACTGTGATGGGACTTGGATCAGACACTAGACTAGTGCAAGAGCTACATCAGCACTGTAGTGTCAAAGTAGGTCAATTGCCAGGCAGAAGACGAAGAACTATAATTTGAAGTTTCGAAATTCAAAATGCTAATATTAATAGATGACAGTGTAACTGGATCCAACCTATTAAGCCATGTTGCATCACAACAGTCTAACAGTGTTTAGAAAAGATTGAATAGACTCTACAGAAGCACACTGTCCAGTACATGTATACCCCTGCATATGTGAGTCTGTCATGACAAGCCAGGTACAATTACCTTGCATACCCAAAACATATGCCAAAAGTAGTTTTGTCAAAAAGCAGTACTCTCTATATAAGCATAAATGATTTATTTTTATAAGTGCTAAATGCAGATGTATTTTAGCTATTTTTGCTCACAAAATTTGCCTCTGACACCACATGTGACTGTGTACTGTTGGCTGCCGAAGGTGGATTATGATAAAACTTATGTTAATATATTAAAAATTATGTTTTCAAGCTTATTTTGATAACTTAAACACACCTCTGGTCTTTCATGTCTGATTTGATTGCAGGGCTAAATTTCATGTTTGTATCCCTAATGTTTTACGTTTCAAGAAGTGTACTAAAAGAGACTGCTTCCTTTTTTTTTTTTTTTTTTTTTTTTTTTTGAGGGGGGGGGGGGGATAACTTCACAAACATACTTAGAAAAAAGTCAGTTTCAATTATATGAAAATTAAATACCCAATGTAAATGCTATCCTGCCACATACTTTCATAAAGATTTTTATTTAAAGTTAAACTTTCAACTTTCCTTCTCAACAAGCTAAATAAAACTTTCGAAAGATTGGTACCAGGCTGTCAGGTTTGATAATAGGTAAACCTGTCTTGTTTAGTGTCAGATTGACATTTGTGAAATGTTTTGACTCCAAAGTTTGGTACGCTATATGGTCATCTAGTAAGATAAGACCAGGTAGGTAAAATTTTGAAATCAGAACTAGAATATTTTAACCTGGTCTTCCCCATAAGTGAACCAATAAGCAGTAGTTCTGAAGTCAGTTTTTGCCTGATGAAGGGCATAATCATGCATGTCCTGTACATAATCTGGGGTAGATTAAAAAGTGTGATCATGATAAAAGAAATAAATACATATACATACTGATAAATACTGTTTATTGCATTTTGTGTCAGTATTTAAAATTCTAAATAATAAATGATGTAATTGCTGTTTTTTCATCATTGTTCTGCCTCTGCTACTGTTAGCTGTTTGCACTCTCCTTCTCCATTTGCCCTGTCACCACTTGTGTGACAGTATTGTTAATTGGGGTGCTAATGTAAATAGCCCACCCATGCTCCCTTATTAATATGCCCCGAGTTTCCCCCTTTCAAAGTTACGTACCTTTGGCCATTTTAGTATCCTATGGATATGGAAGTCTATAAATATTGATTCCTAATTTGATTATTATTCACTCTTAGTTCATTGTGGCCTCTAACTTTTGTTATTGATTAAATATCAAAATGCTGCACATAAAGAGTCATTTCTTCTTACTAACGTTATTTCTGTCAAAGAAAGATATGACAATTAATGCCAAGCCTTAATTGCCATTAAGGTGTTGTCATGGAAACTCCTGTACATAATGTTTGATGTTATTAAAGCAGATAATATAAAGGTATACATCATTTAGATCAAAAACATGACTAGATATTAGATTGTACTTATGTTTCCTTGATGAAAGATATGCAACCAAGCTAATTTTCAATTCATTTGTACCTTTTTTTTATCTACAAAGCAGGTAATTATAATTGTAAAAGTGTTATCAATGTTGATTTGATTTTTGCCTAAAAGATATTGTTTCATTTTCCCCCCATTCCATCACATTTGTTTTCTTTTATTTTGCCTTAGTTGTTCCAAATGAAGGTAAGCCTTATGTTTGATGTAATCCCAACTGCTTTTATACTTGCTTCTAGATAACCACTAGCATACCAGCAGGTGTATATAGGCTCCATTGACATCAATTGTCACTTTTTTTTCAAATCAATTTTTGAATTTTCTTTCATGTTATTTTTTGTCATATTTTTCATTGTTTTCTTTTTCTAACTTTTGAAAACCAAAAATTAAATGGAATATTAGATTTACATAGATTATTATGAGTGCCACATTTTACTGTTATAGCTCAAGTACTAACAATGCATGATATGGACTAAATTAGCCAAACAAAAAAAAAAAATGCTTACAACCTTTTAGATGAAAAAACAAAAAATATACAATTTCACGATTAACAAAAACATTTTTTTATTTTGGGGCATTCTTTGCCTGACATGATCATTTAACAGTGCAAACGTTGACAAATGATGTTCAGTGTTGATACCTGTTCAACACTGCTGCTGTATTTTTTTAATACTTTATCTTGGTGTGTGTTTTAAGGTGCAGATGTATGTTTCTAAATGATCTTTCATGATGTTCATATATATGAAGAGTTTCCACTTAAAATGCTTATAGGATTAGAACGTGTTTGAATGTTTTAGATCAATATTCAAGTATATTGCGTGTTTGTGTTTGTGCCAACATACTTGCAATATTAGTATGACTATTAACTCTTTTAAAATGCATCCGATCCAAGAAATGATGACTAACAAATGGTGAATGGGCCAAAGATTATTATTTGTACACAGACATTTATCGTAGGAAACTCTACTCAGTGTGTCCAGTTTACTAGTACATGTAAGCTTCATGAAAATGTTTTGCTTGTGTACAAAATTGATCTTTGGACTATATCAATACCAGGCTGAGAGACATTTTGCTCAGTTGCTGAATGGTTTTGTTGTAAAGTGAAGTACTTATTTCATTGACAGTAATTCTTTTGTCTGTAAATCTTTTCATCAGACCTATCTAGACCTTTGACATTGTAAAGCATATGCCTAATGTTACAGTGGATAAGCTTGGGTTTTCAAATTTATGAGATGTGATTGCTTAGATTCATACTAATTAGATAAAACCACCAGCTAAAACAAGAGTGTCTTCTCCTTGGTATTCTAAAAAAGTATAATGAAGGTGAAAGTATCAATCAAGTATACCAACACCTCTGGTTGGGTTGGCATGTCCTGTTTAATTGTGATTAGCAGCTAATTAGTTGTACCCAAGATAAGATAGATTTTTGTACTGTAAGTGCAGCCTGGTAGTTTACTACCCTCTTTCCATGGAAATGTGGAAAATGTGCCTATAATAGCTACTTTGGTATTGTGAGAATCAGGTAGTCTAACAGTAGGTTGAACTTCTTGGTAGTTTCTTGAAATCCAAACCTTTATCTATTCTGTACCTGAATATACCACATTTTACTTGATGCAGAAACATTTGATTTTCTGCAGAAAATTGAATAATTCCTTTTCTTGTTTATTTTTGAATTTATCTCTTTATATTTATTCATTTATTTTTTTTTTACTTTATTTTGATCCTGTAAAATATTTTATATATTCTTAATTAAGAAACATTTTGGTGGATGAGATAAGGCAAACCCATCCTTTTTTTTATTTTACATGGTAGATTGTAATTTCGAAATAATAGTTGTGGACTATTGTGTTTTGTTTTATCAATCAATTGGAAACATTTATCATTTTAGAGTTGATACAGCTTAATTTAATCATTTCAACTTATAATTGGTCTCTTTGGCCATATTTATTTTGCATGAGGAAAGGTTCACTCCAGTTGACTGACCTTCTAGTCTGAACTTAAAGTTAATGCCCCTTGGGGGAATAGAGAAAAAATTGGTTTTGTGCAGACGTTCTTATGAGATCACCGTGAATAATTTGAAGTTTTACATGAGTGAAGTAGTTTACCAAATGACGTAAGAATGGTTATAATTACATAAAGGTTGCAAAGCAGTGGTACCAACAGCAGACATTGGTCTAATAAGTCAGCTATGATATTTAATGGAGCAAATAGATTTAATATGAAAGGGGACTATTTTGCTATGTAAATTAACAACAGTTAATTGCCATTTTATTGTATGGACAGGCCTGTTTAACAACCCTATATATGGATCGGAATGGGTCTGTTTTAAAATAGGGTATTTGTGTATGGCTTATTAATGAGTATCTTGTTCTTGCACCTTTATAAGAACTGTTTTCTGTTATTTTAGATATCTAATGAGAAGTGTTTGTATTTCCTGCTTGATTATTTGCATTATATCATAGATTTTTTATAGACTTCATTTATTTATAAGATATAATGATCTCTTTTCAATTATGAAGAGGTTAATTTTCAATGTTATATTTAATTAATTTATTAAATTTATTTATTTATTTAATTCTAAACATGTTGGAGAAAAGTTGATTTCCATTATTTCATTATATTTTGTTTTTCTCAATTATTGTTGGAAGGTTTGTTTTGTGGTTTATTTTTAAAATGAAAATCTTCATTTTTTGTTTTGTAATCATTGTTGTAGATGTCAAACCAGGATCAGTACCCCCACCACCTTACATTATGTTTACTGAAAAGAAGGATAAGCCAGGGGAAGAGCACATCAGGTAAAACCAAGTGTTTGGCAATTTTCCAGCTGGAAATAGATTTATCAATAAAAAAAGCTCTCTTAAAATGAATCTGAATTGCTCTATGCACTTAAAGTTATGAAATATTTTGTCATGGAATACTTGATTAAATTGGTTAAAGTCTAGACATGCTTGAAATAGAAGAAAAGATATGTTTTAGATCACAGTACCCTTTCTTCTCTCTTTATTTCTGTCGTACACATTTTAAGAACAGCAATATAGATCATATATATATGGTGTAATTTTATGTGATTTTTAGAATGGTGTTTTTCCTGTAAAAAATTAAGTGTTAAAGTCTGGTTTCTTGTTCCGTAGTGCTCCACAGCTGAATCCTGAAGATGCGCGCAAGGCACTTTTAGCATATGTCACCCAGCACTGCTGCTTTGGTAGTCAGGTAGCAAGAGAAATGCAGATTATAAATGTAACTCACACAAGTGCATTACAGGTGAATGTTTGAATAAGTTGATTACAATTTTTAATGAATTTTGTAGTAAAGCTAAGTAGGACTATTGAATATTATCAGATTAGACATTTCATTGAATTGAAAAGAAGACCTTGTGTTATACAAGGCAGTGATAATATTTTTTGTGATAATAATATTTTTGTTCAGGATAATATTTTTTCTTTGATATTTATTTTATTAAATAATAACATATTTATGGCTTTTCTTAAAATCAGAGTACTTTTACAGGTCATATGGAGTCTCAATGAGTATTGTTACAGTAAATTAATTTCTGAAGGCAGCAGAACTTTAAAAGGACCTTCACCCATATTGATTTTTTGTAAAACCTGATATTTTCATATATCACTTTGGAGCCAAGTCTGAAAGTTCATTCATGGCAGAGCAAGCCCTTTGCCTCAATTTGCACATGGCCAACTAATAAAGTTTGAGTTTTGAATAAAAAATTCAATTGAATCCTTTATTTTAAATTATTTTGATACTGTTAAAGTTCATGTTTCCAAAGATTGCAATGTTTTAAGCATGGCCAATGTTAGCAGTATCTACACTTGAATTATTAACTGTGGTGCTGTGGCAATGCAATGTTCTTCAGCCAAATGATAAACTTTTATTTGTTCTATTTTTACAGTACAAATTAGAAACTTTTACAGAATCTAGACACCTTAATTGGGATGAGGAGCCATACACAGGTATTGTTGAATGTCACAAACCAATAAAATAAATAATTTAAAAAACACTTGACAAACCTCAGGCAGAATGTATGATCTTGAGGGCAGTCATAGTATCATGCATTCATAGTTACTGTAATGATTTGATATTTAAAAATGACAATTTAAATGAATTCTATATAAAGATATTGAACATAACCAGTAGCTGCAGTAAAAAGTCTCACAATAATCAAAAGGCTAAATATTTAGTGTTGAAAAATTGATTGATGTTTTCAGAGTGATTTTATAAGCGTCATGTTAATTCTTGCCACATTGTTTTGAAATATGGATCTAGATTGTATCTCACCACATCATATTGTGCTCATATTATGGGCTCTATTTTAGTCTGGATGACAGAATAAGATATTTATTTATCCATCCTGCCTGCTCCATCTGACAAATAAATAACCCCAACTTGTCCTGTTTCCCACTATTTGTTACATGTTCTAAGAATAAATGGATATTTAGCCTATTTTGCCTAAAAGAAAAAAAAAGAAAACAAACATTCAAGTGGAAGAAAGACATAATATAAAAAACTAATGTGTTTTTGTATCTGTCTGTACTGTGTTTGTGGTTTGTTTTGTGCAATATTTTTTGTCTGTTTATTCCTATATGTTTAGATCTCTTGATCAATTAAACATTGCAAGTCATTGATATCCAAAAATGTTTTAGTAATCAGCAGTAATCTATAGAATATGGAGTGAAAAATACTTTACATTTAAATGCTTTTTAAAGCATAAATATACAGTTTTATGATGAGATCACATCTTTTTATTTATGTTAATATAAAATAGTTATTGCTATCTGAACATGTTAAGTCTGATGTTAACTTTTAGACTTTTAACCTATTAGATATTTCTGCATGAAGCCAACTGGGTTTTTTAATTAATTTTCTTTCTTTGCATGTTTTTGTTTGAATATTTGCCTGTTGCCCCAGGAATGTTGCAAAAATGTTTACCTGTGAAGGTGGTTTTTTCATTATTCATTTTTGATATATCACATTTATATCACATTCATTAATCAACAGAATGGCTTTATATTTATCAGGCACCTGAGAATTGACACGTGTCATCCATGTTTCCTAATTTGGATGAATTAAGTGAAATTTATAAAATGATGTCACAGATATTATGAAAAAGCTTCACTTCAGCATATTTTATGGGGTTAGCTATGGTAATAACTTAAATCCAAAAGACATGGCAACATGATGAAGACATGTTCATTTTACAATAATAGTTGGAATTAACATTTTTCAAAAAGAAAATTTAATTCTATCAAACAAACATATGATAAATGTTTCCAATGAATTCTTAATACCTATACAGACAATTGTGTTATGTCTTTTAGATATGGTGAATTTCCATAGATTATTGTATTTTGATAAATGTTTGAAGTCTTACTTCTAATTGTTCTTTTTATTACATATTCTCCAGACCACAGTAAGTAGACCTCTTCAGGGAAGTATAGATGCTGCTTATCTTTCGATTCTATTAGTATCAACTAGTTACTCTCGCTACTTAATCTCTTGCTGCTTTTATTTTTTGTACACTGGATATTGTCACACTTGTGCCAAGGCCATGTTTTTATGCCTCTTACTTGTGAAACTCTCAGATATAAGCTTGTTTAAATTATTGCAATAACATTTTGCTTTAAAAATTTAATTAAGAATTCTCAACTTAAAAATAGATAAAAAAAATTGCTACAGCACTAGTCATGTAAGGACTTCTTTAGACCGACGATTTGTCTGTTTGTACATGTAGTCACCAGATGCCCATATACCTCACTGTCTCTTGTGCATCAAATGGCCAATTTTAGCCTTTGAGTATGCTGTTATCATAATGTATATGAAGTTAAACATGGGTTGTGCACAAGCTGTGGGAATGTTATTGCTAAAAAATTTATCAGTGTTTTATAACACCCATTCTTTAACATAGAACTCTAACCTTTATAAACAATGTACTGCAGTACCTTACAAGTGCCATAAGAATCTGCCTACAAACTTCACCATTACTTCTCAGGTGGCCCTCTTGATCACCCAGTTAATGGCCTTGTTCCTGCCCCCTGGTCCATTCCATGTGAACCCACAGATATGTTCAAAAATGAAACACAAGAGTATGTCCTGCCTCATTCAGAGACATTAGTGGTATGTACACAACCTGGAAATGGCCCATTTTTTAAGGGTTGCTAAGGAAATAAAATTCAAAATGCATTTTTCTGTGATTTATCAATATTTTCATTATTAATCACACTTTTATTGTTATTACTGAATGTTATTAGCAACAGTAGATATAGTGTTAGGAGTATATTTGTAAATGTTTAAGACTGCATTCCCACAGATTTTTAGATTGATCTATCCCCCTGGGGAGTCTCACTAGATTGGTGTCAGCTTAACCGGCTTAAATGTCTGTCCCACCTACTAAAGCTGTAAGGGGGTATAATTAACTAAAGTGTGCGCTCGGCTGACAGCAAGTTAGCGTGAACCCCCAGGGAGTTAGGTCGATCCAGATGGAATGATCTAAATCTCTGGGAATGCCCTCTTAGATTGACAATCCAGCTTTTTATTGCTATTACAAATCTGTTGTTCACCAGTGCAGAAGAAAATCCGTTTTCAGTTTGATAAATTTTATTGGTTTGAAATATGTTTTTTGTTACTGTCCAAACCAGGTGTGCAACCTCTGTGATGGCACAGGGACTAATGAATGTCGTTGGTGTCATGGGAAGGGCTACAAGAAGTGTCCCAGCTGCAATGGTTCAGGGAAGAAGAAGATTGTGTATGGCAGATATGCCATCACATGCAAGCCTTGCAGTGGCCATGGTAGGGTCAGGTAAGCAAAAAAAAAAAAAAACAAAAAAAAACAGTTTTTAAATGTTTTAAAGCTTCAACATCTCTGCACAATAGGGTCACGCAATTATTTTTTTTCATCTTTCTCCACTTCTTTTTGTGGGTGGGGGGTGGGATGGTGATGAGGGAGGAGAGAGCATAACAGAAAATATAGAAACGTTATTTTGCATTGCATTCAGTTTTTACAAATTTTGTCTCTGGGGCAGATAATAAAACTAAGTATCCAAGTTGGTGAATGCTCATTTATTAATTAAGGGATGGTTCTCCACTCCTTACATTAAGTATGTCTATTATTAGATCTGTTCAATTACTCATTAGCAAGAATCTTATGTGCATGAAAATTTTCAAACACAAGACTAAAAATTTCCGTACCGTTAGCTTACTGCCAACCTGGTCGAAGGCCTTCATCAGACCAATGTGAGTAGTTGTTCACACTCACTGACTGCTAGGTGGTATAGTNTGACAGCAAGTTAGCGTGAACCCCCAGGGAGTTAGGTCGATCCAGATGGAATGATCTAAATCTCCGGGAATGCCCTCTAAGAGTGACAATCCAGCTTTTTATTGCTATTACAAATCTGTTGTTCACCAGTGCAGAAGAAAAACAGTTTTCAGTTTGATAAATTTTATTGGTTTGAAATATGTTTTTTGTTACTGTCCAAACCAGGTGTGCAACCTCTGTGATGGCACAGGGACTAATGAATGTCGTTGGTGTCATGGGAAGGGCTACAAGAAGTGTCCCAGCTGCAATGGTTCAGGGAAGAAGAAGATTGTGTATGGCAGATATGCCATCACATGCAAGCCTTGCAGTGGCCATGGTAGGGTCAGGTAAGCAAAAAAAAAAAAAAACAAAACAGTTTTTAAATGTTTTAAAGCTTCAACATCTCTGCACAATAGGGTCACGCAATTTTTTTTTATCTTTCTCCACTTCTTTTTGTGGGTGGGGGGTGGGATGGTGATGAGGGAGGAGAGGGCATAACAGAAAATATGGAAAATATGGAAACGTTATTTTGCATTGCATTCAGTTTTTACAAATTTTGTCTCTGGGGCAGATAATAAAACTAAGTATCCAAGTTGGTAAATGCTCATTTATTAATTAAGGGATGGTTCTCCACTCCTTACATTAAGTATGTCTATTATTAGATCTGTTCAATTACTCATTAGCAAGAATCTTATGTACATGAAAATTCTCAAACACAAGACTAAAAATTTCCGTACCGTTAGCTTACTGCCAACCTGGTCGAAGGCCTTCATCAGACCAATGTGAGTAGTTGTTCACACTCACTGACTGCTAGGTGGTATAGCGGCCAGGACCCTCTTATAAATGTCAGGTAGATCAACCCCCCCCCCCCTGTCCCTATTCATGGGTGGCTGGTGACAGCTGATGTTGATAGCCTCTTGTATTTTTCGCAGTACGGAAAGTTTTAGGCTTGTGTTTGAGAATTTTCATGTATATCCAACAACCAAGCTTATGAACATTTTTTGCTCAAGAATCTTATGTATTCACTTTTCTATTGACTCTGCTTTTAACACCGCTTTGCCAACTATTTTGTCTTCAAAATTTATGGTTCGAATATTTCTCTGTATCCATTTCCAATTGGTTCTAATATTGGCAACCGTAGAAAAACTTCTGACATATTTGGATGTGGGTTACAATCTTATTATTTCTGAATAAAGTTAATTATTATTACAACAATGCTGTTGTAGCATATTGCTCAGTTTCAATCATATACCCCATGAGCTATGGCATGTAACCCTTTAACTTGAGAAGTAAAATAATCCATTTTGGCAACTGGCTTTTTTTTCCACAGATACTTTTCTTGGGCAGACTTACTCATTTCCATAAATGAGATTTATGCACTGAATATGTACGATTCTAACATTGATATTCTTCTGGGGATGTGAACCACTCAGCATGGTGCATTAAACTAGTAGTGCACTACCCAGATCAATAACATTCAAAGTCTTTTATGTACTTATCTACGTTTCAGCAAGTTGGAGAAACCATTTGCTGGGTCCATATATATTTCCAAGCAGATTATAAAAAACTGTTTATCACTACATGTATGTAGTACATACAATTTTATTTCACTTTATAGGCAATTTAATGTTTTATTGCCATTGCCATTTTTTATTTTCTTTTAGTTGTGGAGTGTGTGACACTACTGGCACCCTCATATGCAAAAGTTGTGATGGTCTCAAGAAACTGAAGAGATTCCTTGTTTTGGCTGTAAAATTGTGAGTTGCACATAAAACACCATAGAGGTTCATAGTTAAGTTTTTCAGTTAGAAGGGTTTTTTTCTTAGAGGAATGTCTGGCTGAGACATTAATATAACAATACTGTAGGCATGGAATTGATTACTATTGATGAAAATATCAGATATCAGTTTGAACATCTTTTTTTGTTTGCCAAGATTCCAGATGTGGAGGAAATTTTGTATCTTTTGTTCATTTTTTCTGTACCAATGAATCTGCATTTAATGTCAATATTCCCTATTTCCTGGACATTTTGTTTGACCTACCATTTTTCTGTCTCAAAAAATCTATAAACCAAGTTATTGAATAGATGAGCCCAGACTGTCTAGCCCACTCATTCAATTGTTTATGCATGATCTTTAACATCAAATACATTTAAGAAACAATTCTACTGGTGCATCATCATTGATTGAAACCCCATCAAGTACATAGTTTTGATCTGACAGATAATATTTCAGTAGAAAAAATCGACAATGCTTTCCTCAGATAAAAGCATTAGGTCAGGCAGTAATGAACATTGGTCATTGCTGTATCTTGTGCATTATATGTACCTCCAGTAATAAATGAGCTTTTCTAATTGCCCCAAAACATAATATTGTTACATGTTGTTTGATTTCCATGATGTGGAATAAGTATCCTAGATTATGGAAGAAAATTCCTTTGACTAGTAATCTAAGACAAATGGAAACTCATCTATGCCCTGTGTTTTCAACATTTCTCAGTAAAACCCTGGTAAGTCGCCACATTGTGGAGAACACTGAATTTCCTAAGGAACTTGTCAAGGATGTTGGTGGACAGAAGGTCTATGAGCAAACATTACCCAGGGTAAGTATAATCAATTATCATGGGGTCTCACTGTCAAACATCATTTGTGTATTTTAAGAGAGGTTTAATTGTTTTCCAAATCAGTGGGTTGGTTTCACCATCAATTGGTTTTGGTCTCAAGTTTTAGTTTTCCTTCAACCTAGTAGCAAATAAATCAGATATGATGTATGTTAAATGAAATATTCTTACCATGCTTATTTCATATGTACGGCAGTAATTTTTCAGAATGTTACATTGAGACATTTTTATCTTAAATTCTTTTCTTTTATACAAGGTTTGGGCCATGACTAGCTATCCAAATCAGGAACTGTGCAAAAAGTCCAAAGATTATTGTGAGGGACATGAAAAAAAAGCAGAAAAAGAACATGAGAAAATAATTATGCAGGTAATTAAGTTCGATTTAAAGGTAAACAGTGCAAACCATGTTAGCAATGTTCATGGTTAAGTCCATCAACCCCATCCCTCATAAGAGAAATTACTAAGAAAAGTTTCAATTGATTTGATTGGAAGTTGCCAAACCATATTATTTATATTACAGAGACACGAGTTAGTTGTGAAACCAGTTTGGGAATGCACTGTTTTGTGGAGACATGAAAACTGGAGATTCTGGGTTTATGGCAATGAACACATGGTTTATGCACCAAAGTACCCCCAGCGGTGCTGCTGGAGATGTAGTGTCATGTGATGTTGCCACGGAGTGAGGTCATGAGATCAGGGCCAGTGACCAGTCTCTACAGGGATTGACAGTCTAATATGAGACATTTTGCAAAGTAGAGAAGAAACATGAAGGGAAAGGAAAATAATTTACAGTTTATGTTACTTTGCAGTAGAGGAACACTGCATCAACCACCAGGAGTAAACTGCAATAGCAGGTATTTATGCCGATTTCAAAAGTATGTATCAGGTGATAATTTGGAAGATATACTACCAGAAGCAAAATGGCAGAGAAGATTGTGATGATTTTGAGACTTGATTCTTGTTTTTTAAATGGCATGAGACCAAACAAGATGTTTTTATTTGTATGGTTTAAGCAAATGACTGAATCAATCATATTGCCTGATGGCATTGATGCATGGATGGGCCAGTTGTAGGTAGATGGGTCATGTGTTTCTTTGTTATATATAGAGGTGAATTACACGCATGTGAAATACTGGATGAAATGGTTTTTGGTCCTTGTTGTGACATTTATCTCTAATTTCTAATGTCAACTTCATATCAATTTATTCATTCGAAGCACTACATTCAAATACCTTTTCCATATTTCTTTTTCTTATTTTAAACTTATTTGACAGAAGGATGTACAATGCTGTTTGTTGTCATTATGAGCTTTTGGATGTAGTTTCAAATATCAGTGTTTTTTATATATACTGGAGTCTTGCCAAAAAATATAGGAGTTGTATCAAATTAAGCAAATCAATAATAAAAAACTCTTCACTTTGATATAAGTCACAGTCAATGCATTTGCCCCTAAAAGAACATAAAAGTTATGTTGAAGATATTTATTTGTTTTTAAATCTATTTTGCAACACAAGGTATTAATGATTAATTCAGAATAACAATGAATTTATATTTACTGTTTAAGCCTAAGCTACTATGTTTCCCAGAAATTTTGTCTTAGATTTCATTGTTGGCATATTTTTAGAATTTCACACGTCCTCATATTTTCTTAAATTGAGATTTGCAGAAGACACACTTATTGTGTATTTTAGAATGTTAAGTCACTGATTAATTTAATTCCTTTACTGGGCCTATCCAGTTGCAAGAACTTTGTCATCACAATGTTAAACATGTAACAAGTCAATTGAGCATCCAGATTCAAATCCTTGAACATACAGTCCTACTGATCGAGAGAGTGAATATTCTAATTCATCCAAGTGAAATCTCATAAGAGGAAAAAATATATCCAGTACTGGACTTCTACAATGGCAATGCAGCAATCCAACATGTCAAACCTTGTATGTATGGGGTAGTGTGAAGTGGTAAAGACTATAGTCAGAAGTTTACATGTGAGAGTCCAAACAACCCCTGAAAGCCAAAGTAAGCTCAGCCTGAAGCCACAGGCCACAAGGTGAACAGTGAAGTCTTTACCATCCTGGATTGAGAAGAGAAGTGGCATAGAAAAGTAGTTAAAGAAGCCATCTGGCAGAGTGTAGAGGACTCTTCACTGAACCACAAAGGAGGACTGAGAGCTAACCTCTCCCATATCTGGGATCAGGCCCTCAGTCTCATACCTAGCCATATCTGACCAGTCATGACCAGCCCATCATGTCACTGACACTCATTTCCCTGCTAAAGATCAATGGTAATGATCTCAATGTCAGATCATTGTGTTATCATTCTGTAAGTCCAGTATCAGTGTTATTTTTTCCTTTTATGTAATATCTACTATTACTGTTGTTCCCACAAATTTAAGGAGCTCAAAGATTTTCTCTTGTGACTAATCAATATGGCCATCATGTGACTTACATATTGCAAGAAAGTTTCCTTGAGGGAAAGAGAATTTCTTAAACAATGCCAAGACTGTTCCCAGACCCTGTATCTGAAGAACAATTAGAGCCTACTTGTAGAAAAGGAGTATTTGGACTTTTTTTAGATTGTGGAACATTGACTCCTGTATTCAGTATATTTAACAGTTTGGTACAATTGCATTTATTATCCTAAGTGTTGTACATTTGAAAGTAATATCATACAAAGGCAGTTTAATAGATTACCTATTGTAGATTAATGCCAGGCAAGTTGATTTTGCAGTCAATATGTTGTCTGATAGGTGTTTGTGAAAGTTGATGAACATGTATAATATATCAAACCTGAACAGGATGTTGAAATCCAAAGACTGCAGAATGGTTTTACTTAAGGGAAGTGTTGGAACTGAAGGCATATATCTTAGCAAGAAAAGGAGATTTATTTGCCAATCCTCAGTAACATTTGTTAAAGTGCAAATTGCAATTGGAAAAGATTGCCAGGAAAAAGTAATCACACGTAACAAGTTAATGCATTTTACAATTGATTTAAGTAGCATTTAGACATCCTATTATTAGTAATAATTATTGTGCATAATTTTTTCTTATATGTTTGCAGCTTTTGATAGCTTTTAAAGAACTGTTGGTGTTCACATTATTTAATTGAAACAACTCATTGTACCATATATATAGGTATATATACAGGAAAAAATTGAAATAAGACATCTAATTTTGCCCCTATTTATGTAGATCTTCAGGGGATATATATATAACAGCTAAATTTTTGGGATAGCCTCATTTCCTGCAGAAGCTCAAGATATAGACATTGAAATATTGAGGTATACAACATGGTCAATATTAGCTGTTGATAGAACAAAAACACTGCTTTATTCTTAATGCATTACACAACTGATGAAATTCTTTGAATCATTCACCCATTTAGGGTTGTGGCATTATTCAATGCAGGCAAATGCTGAATTTAGTTGCTGATCACTTAAAAAAAAGATTAGATTAGATTAGATTCCTATGGATCAATTCCACAGCTTTGATTTCAGTCTGAATTTTACGTGGTTTAAGATCAAACCTTAAGATTAACCTAGTTTTGACCTTAATTTAGTCAAGTCCATGTTAAAACTTACATATCAAATTGGTCACAATTTTTGTATAATACTGTAATGATGTGCAAGTCTAATTTGTAGTTAATAATTTCGAATGTAGTCAAGCATATAATATTAATCATTCATACTGCTTCCTGTGTGGATTTGTGATTGTATCAGGTATATTAACTGTGACAGTATATCAATAACACACACACGTATATATACATATATTTATGTCTGATGCATTTAAGTTTGTTGACATCTTAATAATCTGTCCAATTCAATTTTCATGTGTCATGTTTCATCTTGGAATTATAGATTTAGTGCATTTTAATAAAATTTATATAACCAAGTTTCTTTTCCTACTTTTAATTAGTGTTAGGATTATCCTTTTTTTTCTATAATCTATTGGTAAAGTATATCAAAATGTTGTAGTTCACAGTCTAAATGTATGACAATAAGCATCAAAGTCTGTATTTATTCAGTTAATTTTAATAGATATGCTTGCAGTCATAAAATGTACACTGTGCAGCAGAGAACTAAGCATATTTGGGTATTTAAGAAATTCTCCCATGTGCTGGCTGAAGTAAATATATGTGCAGGTTTAAACATGTTTATCCATTGCATGAATATCAAAAGTTCTTTTATTCCAGATTCAGTACACCTGTTCATAGCAAAATGATAGAGTAGTTCAGCAAGTTGTAGTTGGCATAGTGCCAGGTTTGGCATGTGATTAGCATCTGATCTTGAATGCAAGATTTCTATTTGCATTGTGTCATTGACAGGCAGCAGACATGTTATCAAAGTAAATTTGTATATCATTCATTTTTATATCCTTGTTTATTTGTGGTGCTTTTTAACCATTTTGCCATTTCCATTGGTGTATAGTGTGCTAAGTGTGGTTAATAAATAACGATTCAAATTCTGAAAGTAGTTCTGTGTGAAGACTGACAAAATATTTTCATTTAATCATTAAACAAAACACAATGGACTTAATTTACAAAGTTTGGTCTTCACTAATTTCAAACACCTCATATACATATATTCAATTAATTTATTTTTCCTTTCGTCATTCCAAGTTTTTCATAGAACCATATTTTTTACATGAACCCAACTTACTTATCAAATCTTTTGAAACATGTTTAGATTATCACTTACAAAACATTGTTTTAGTTAGTATATTTATTTATTATATACCCATTAAGAGACAAAATGACTCATTGGTCAAATTTGGCAGGAAAAATATATATAAAAATTCAGTCTCGGGGATTGTGCAGACACTGTATGCAAGTCAGCTAGGTGCATCAGAGAAGAAATGCTAAGATTTAACATCTTTGATTTTTTTTCTTTTTTTGCGAAAGAGAGGGAGGGGGTGAATGTAGTAAAACTAACAGTGCCTGCTTCAAAAGGATTATTTGGTGGATTTAAAATATCAAGGAATATATTTTTCAGCTACAATACCTTATAATAGCCCCTATTCCACATCGACTACAGATTCCACAAACCCTTGGGAATTGATTATATCCCAGGGCTCTTACTTTAATTGTGATAAATTCTTTAAGCTCTTAACTGATTCTTAATTATTCTCAGTCAGTTTTGTGTAATTCTAGAGATTGTGAAATTGAGTCAAAAGTTTTGAGCTCCCAAATACAAAAAATCTTGGTTTATTCATGACAAATCTGTGGTACATGCTCTTTATACTTTTCTTGAGGGAACATACTTCAAATTTCATTTCAACCTGGTGGTTCATGGCATTCATATTTGGTGTGGAATAGGGGTATTAGTAAGCCTAGGGATTCAACTGGTGGACATAACAATATTTGTACATAAGTGTCATTTTCATTTGATGACTTATTTCCGTAAATGTTGTCAGCACCCTTTTGATACACCATAAAACATAAAAATTAAAAAGTTTCCTATAGTATGAAAAAAGCAATTTTATTGCAAAAAATGTTAAATACATTTTCTCAGCAAACTTGCCAGGCACAAAACGACTAAAAACTATACAGAGTTGGGGGTCTTTACACTGACACATTGGCAACAGTTTAGCATGTCATGACACTGAGCCTAGTTTTCCCAGTAATGGGGGTGTCACCCAATAGCACAATATGGGTAATATAGAGATAAACAAGTCAAAATGTTATACAATAAACAAAGACGACATTAAAACAATCCGCTCTGGGAAGCTTCCATTTACATACTATATATGTACGGATTTAATCTTGCTAATTTTGTTAAAACCATTCTCTAACACACATTGTGCAAAAGAAGTTAACTCATATAGATGTAAATAGACTTAATTCAATCCTTAAGATGTATTTAATTATTATGTTTTTATGATATCAGTTTTAATATCAGAATAAAAGATCACTACAGACTATCAAAGAGATAACTGGTAGTCTTAGGTCATTTTTTCACTACAAAATCCAAGAGGTATATCCAGCTAGACGTTGGTATAAAATATTTTATCTTAAGGCACCCATGCATTTTAATTCAAAATTCCACAAAACATGACTTTTGGTAAAATATCCTATTGTGTAATTTGAAGTTATTCTACAATATCAAATAATAAGAGAACCATTTTCCTCAACTCTTTAAACAGAGTCTAAACTTTTTGTTAAGGTAAATGTCACGATATATAAAAAAGTCATTAAATATTTAAATCCTGGTATAGTAACCTGTATCTTTCACTACAAGCTGTCAGAAAGCATTATTTGCTCTATTTTACAAAGTATTGCACACATACTCTCAGTTCCTTGCTCAACAGTTCAAGACAAGGCTAGATACAAGTCATACATGATTACATAAATATCATGCTAATATATAATGTGCTGTCCATACTACTATTTTAAAAACAGACTGTGACTTGTTGGCATGATAAATATAAAGAAATATCATCATTCAAAGTGAAATTTCTACAGCTTACAATAGCTCTGGGACAACTAAAAGACAATTCCTCTTGTCTAAGAGGCAAAAAGATGTAAAAAAAGTTTAACAAATAAATAATATACTAAAACAATTAATTTTAACCACCATACACAGTAGCACCTCTGTCTTCTTTCTCTAAAGCATTATTTGATTAAAATGCTGCCTCAGTTTATCGGACTGATATATATATCTATATAAATATATATGCGTATCAAGCAGCACCATTGCAAACTATACTAGTAAGCAATCTTTAATGTAAGCCATATACATAAACAGATAGTATATTCATACTAACCTGCCCTCTGTGTATACTTCATACTGATAGCAAGTTAACACATTACTCTTAACACATATCCTTGGCTTTCCACATCAGTCTTCTGCAACAAACCCTGACATCCTCTGTAATCTACATTTGATATAAAAGTATTTGTCTTTATTTGTCTCCTTCAAAGATTCACCAGTAAAATGCATATGTGTAACAGACCCATGTGCAAAATCACGCTCATCTTCCAAGGGCTTTGAAGTAAGATTACTTTAAATAAATAAGAATAAGAGTAAAGTTTATGCCACCTTGTTGCATCCAGTTGGTGTGTGTGTGTGTGTGTGTGTGTGTGTGTGTGTGTGTGTGTGTGAGAGAGAGAGAGAGAAAGAGAAGAGGAGGTGCATAAAGACACTATAATAAACATTTTTATGTATGTTTGTATGTATATAGCATCTTGTATCATTTTTTTTTCTTTTTAAATCATTGCATAAAATGAAATGTCATGTTTCTACTCAAAAATGGAAATAAATAGCTGCATGAGATACAAGATATATCTTGCACTATTCATCACATCTCCAGAAATTTCTCCAATTTAAGTCCACTTTTTGTATCAACATATTTAAAAAGTAAACGCTTAATTTTCCCTCTTGGTTGTATTCTACATTTGACATCCTACATCAACAGATGTGGCTGCATGGTTTGAAGGCACCTTAGGCCTCCCAAGAGTAGCCTGGGCTGGAGCAGGGACTTATCTGCCACACTGTGGGCACAGGATGTCCATCTCCTTGGTCAGGAAGCCACGGCCAACAAGTGATGTGTTACATTGGTAGCAGTTGAAGCAAGAGCTGTGCCAATGGCGATCCTCAAACGAAATAAACTTAGTTCCACCAATACCTGAAAATCATGAGAAAACGTTGCATATAACTAGAAAAATATGGGCATATTCTGATACTAGATATATTAATTATGTTCTATCTGAAACTTAACAAATTATTGACTCTTCCTGCATGTATCACTCATTCAAATCATTACTTTTATTACTTGAATTAATCTTTATTTTTCAAACTTCAACCACTGAATGTTTGAGAAGGACTGCGAAGCAGCAGGGACAACAAAGAGCTAAGACATGGTCAGGACAGAACAGGGTGGAGACTTATGTTACACATACCTTTACTGAAATAAAAATGAAAATGTACCAGACAATAGGGTGGGGCATAGGATGGAAATAGGATGGAAATAATGGTGTCACCTATGACAATTTAAGTACAGAAACAAATACCAAAGAAAATACTGCTAAGAAATTAATTCGAAAGCACTTTCTTAAACCAAGAAAATTATATATTGGGTGTTACCTGATTCCTTGTCAATTAAGGAAATAGAATTTCTAAGACTTAATGGAGAGAGGGAAGGGGCATGTATGCCTCAGAGTACTGACAGTCTGACTGTGAGTTACTCTAAGTTATGATTAAACAAAGTAAAGGAGACATTTTCTAGTTTTAGGCACACCTGTTCTAAACATGCAGCCCTGAGACAAAGGGTGAAGGATGGTCATGAAAGAAAACCTGTGTTAAAAAACCATGAAGATACAACTCAAATGTTTGCTTGATATTTGTTTATGAGTATTTTAAACACTTTTCTGTAACCTGCATAAATCATGCACATGAAAATATCAAAATATCAAAAATTGCATGGTACTTATAAGAAAGGGGTATGAGCCAAAGTATTTGCATAAAATATTCCAAAAAACTTTTCTGGTTATGATTTTTATACTTTTTCCCTTACTTTTTTTATCATAAAGTTAGTCTTCTTTTCTTAAGCACTATACATATATTCTTTTAAGAAGGTTTCACCTTCGATTTGAGTTTCCTTATGACATCACCACCTCTCATCATTTATTACATTTATAACTAAGTTTGAATTTGTTTAACATATTTTTTGTAATTCATTAAATGCTCCTCAGTCACAAATCTTACTTCAAAACAAAACTGCCCCCCTCCCCTATGCCTTCAAACTTCAAAAACATTGCACTCATCTAATGCAAATCTGTTCAAACATGGCTAAGCACAAAGGTTTTCTTCATTTGTAGTCAGCTCCTTATACATATGCTGGCAATAACCTGACATGCAACAGTTAATTTTGTGACAGACGCTGGTTCAGGTTTGGGTGCCACCATTAGCATCTACTTTCATACTTCAGGGCAAATCTTGACGAGTACATATAACAAACCTGTTATTGGCTTAGTACATCTACAACATTTCTTAGCAAAGAGTTCGCCAAAGCAGTCGGCACAGTATGGCTTGTCATCCTTGGACGTGAATTTCTGGCCGGCCAGCTGGGTGTCACAATTTGTGCATGTGAAACACTCACGATGCCATGGGTCCCCCTTGTAGGTTACACCACCCTTATTAATGGCCTAAATGAATATAAAAAGACATGCAACAAATAGTCTAAACATATAGCATAAAGTAAGAACAATGCAAGGAAGTGATACTTTGATACAGTGACAAAATTCAGCTTTCAAAAGTGCAAAACATCATTCTGATGCAGCATGGGCTGGAGTCAGGCCCCTCATGCTCACATGACATCTCAGTAACGCCACCTGGGGAAGAAAACAAGTCATGCTGTCAGTTGGTGAACAAAACTAATAGGCGAACAGATAAAGACAAAAAACAAAACATGGACAGAAGAAGACTAAAAGTGAAAAGGAGAGTTGTTCAAAAATTAGTTATCAAATTGAGTGAAAGACCTAATCTATAAGAACTATATAGATTCTGAGTGTAATAGTCCTATTTTAGAAAGCCATATCTAAAAGAATAATCTAGAAAATTTGAGAAGTTTAAATTTGCTATGAGAAGTTAAACCGTGATTGGTAAATCAAAAATTCCTAAAACGAAGCTCTCTGTTCTAATCTATAATACCAAAAATAAACTTGTTTTTGATTAACAAGAAACCATTTATCTGCAAAACAGAAACCAAGCTAGAAGCAATTTTCATACTAGTTCTGTTATCACTTTATAATTATTGTACTATTTTATACAGAACTGTACAGGTGAGTTGACGCTCAAGGGGGTTATGCTGGCTTTAAATGAAGTCAAATATGCATAAAAAGCCTAGGAGGCTGTTTAGAAAAAAAACCTCTGAATTGGGATCAACAAGTAGGGGATTCACAGCAAAAACCACAGGGGTAAATTTTTTTTCTAGCTTATAATTGCCTGATATGTCCATAATTCAAAAAACAGTTGTTATAACAGTCACAACAGGAATGCCAGATTCACCCAAATAATTAATTGACATAGGCTGTGGAAACTGAACACAAACATGGAGGGAGTTTCCAAGATGCACAACAGTGACATCCAATCAAAAAGGATGGGCCCATCATCATCAATACCATTATCAGTGAATTCATACGAAATGATATCCTGATGGTGTGTCATATCTGAAGCATCAAGGAGTAGCTTATCATACACAGCAATCCACACACACTACAAAAGGTCATAACATCTGAAAAAATATTGGACATGTGCTGGAAATGAAGGTGTAGCGGCTACCACATACATTAGATTGTCTTGTGACAGGTCCAGGTGGAGGTTTAAAATTCGGAGGAGGCTTGCCCCCTGTGGTCAATGATGCAGGCTTTGTGCCAGTAATTGCCCTGGGACTTAACACCATCCTTGTAAATCACCTGTGGGAGAAATGGAGAAAGAAAGGTAATCAGGGACAACACAAGATGGCACCACTATGCAATACCACACCACTCAAAAATTCAGCTGATATGACATAAAAAGTACTTGTGCAGTGAACAATTAATCCAGCATGAGTAAAATTAAGATAATAAACACTGATACTTTAAACTTTTGTGACTCACATGTATTCTGAAATCATATGATCATTAATCAATATCATTATTTCCTGAAGCAATGTTAAAATACCAGAATGCCACTTATACTTATTTAACAACCAAAATGTGCTCTCCTGCTCCAAGTGCTTAATGTCATCACATTTAGTTCAAACCCTATTTCTAAATCTGTCATTTTCCATGCCAATGACACTTTGCATGCATAATGTTTTTCTTTTTAAAAAAATGAAAAAAACACACACACCAAATTATAATTGACACAAAGGCCATTTTGTAATTACGGCGATGAAAAGACATTAAACTAGAAACACTTATTGTATTAAATGCACACAAAGAATCATTACAGGCAGCAGGTTGAACAGATTTATATTTCAAATTTTAGATTAAGAAAATATCCCATTTTTTGCTTTAGATGCATTAGTTGCATTTACTATGTTTTTTTGTAGGTGACAAATCATTTTAACCATACACATATTGGTTGGACTGACTGGAATAAGGCAAAACCTGAATGTAAAACTTAAGTAAAACTTAAGTAATTTTCACAGCTGATAAAATATGGCATGGTGTGTGAATTTCACATATACTTCCATCAACTGATACTCTAACAAAATATCAATGTACAACCACTATTATACATTGATTTTTAACATATTTAACTTTTTCTACAAATTTTTCCTTTGCCTCACAGCAAATTTTTAAAAAAAAAAGTTATTGCACTAAACCACATCATTAAAATAAAAAATGAGATACTTTTCCCTAACCTGATTACTCCAGCCTTTTTTCACACTTTTCAAATAACACTCCATTTTAATATTAAATCATTGTAAGGCTACAGCAACAAAAAGTAACACTGATATTATGTATGCAAAACAATGTTATTACTTAATTACTCTTAACTATACTTATTGTTTTTCCTTAATCAAATCCAATGAAGTAAAAATGAAACAAAACTATGAATTTACTATCTTAATATCATGTTCTCCCTTCTCTCTCTTTCTCTCTCCTTACCCCTTGGCACTTCATGCATCTCATGGCAAACTGATCTTCATAGCACTGGGTGCAGACAACATCGTCACCACGAGGGATAAAGCTCTTGTTGCCAATGGGCTGCTTGCAGCAAAGGCAGCAGAAGCAATGCTCATGCCACTGTTTGCCCTTGTACTCAAACTTCTTCATTCCTGGAGATTAAGAAAAAAGTACTTAGAGAATCCAAACTATAAGAATCCAATTCCAAAGTAGCTAGTAAAGACCAGTTAAATGCCATACACAATACTGAAAGTTATCTGTTGTTTCACAAGACTTTAAAATGTAAAACAAAGAAATCAAACAATATGTTACAATAAACAATTCCCTAATAATATGGCAAATTTAAAATGTAAGATCTACACTTTATATCTGCAACAAGAAAAAATTAATAGAAAGATAACTGAAGAAATAAACTATAGCAACATGCATGATATACAGCAAAGTATTTATCATTAGAGATTTTGAGTTTTACAATCAATCTTCTCATTTGGATCCTATGCAGAATGAAGAAGGTGCTGTGTTAGGTGGGTGTGTCTTGGTCTCAACTAGCACAGTTCAAAGGCACAACTGACTAAAATACACAACCCATCACAATGCCTTAAACAGTGCCATTGAAACTCCATTTTTCATAATAGATAAAATAGATACGGTTTGGAGATGAAGCAATATAATTATCACCAGCTATTTAAGGTTATTATACAAAAGAGCAGGAAAGTAAAAGAGGATATATTTAAAGTAATCCCAGGGGTTTAGGAAAAAGACTGACTTATATTCCAAGGGGCCATTCAGAATAGAAGATCCGAGTATCGACTGGTCCAAGGCTCAAATATGGGGGACCCTACAATGAAAGCAAGACCGCTTAATCCTGTAACACATGCCTCCCCATGCATCTGGTTGAATGGAGCAGAGATTTAATTACTGTGCCCCTGCAGGGATGATGTATGGAGAGGCATGTGAGAGGTGCAGAGACCATTACAGGATTAAGCAGTCTTCCTTTCATGTAGGGTCCACCATATTTGAGCCTTGGCCCAGTTGATACTCATATCTTCTATTCTGAATGGTCCCCAAGAGCTTCTATGGAAGTACAGATAGATTATCTCACCTGCTCTAAAGATGTCACTACAGCCATCGCAGCGGGCAGCAAAGTTGTTGTCATAGCAGTCAGCACAGTGGAGGCGCTCATCACGGGCAGCAAAGGGCTTGTCTACCAGAGAAGACTTGCAGTCACAGCAGAAGAAACACTTCTCATGCCAATGCTTGTCCTTGTAGGACAAATCCTAGAAGTAAACACAGGAAAAAATAACATATCCTTCTGATTCAAGCACAATAGACTGAAAATAAAAATCTAATTCAACTTTATTAGTCAATGTATAAAATGCAATTATCCCCAGGTTTGCAATAATAATAATTAGCATGTGTGAATCAAAGAAAAAGAGCATTTCTAAGCAAAGCAGCTCTGAAAAAATAGTGTGATGTTGATGTAACATAATTGGATGGTCCCAAAAAGGTGGACCTTTTTAGAATGAATGGAAACATGTTTAAAAAAAAACAAACCATCAAATATGCAGTTTTTGGTATCAATTTACAATGTTAAAACAATGCAACTCCCAACTTTAAAGCTAATATTTAACATCAGTTTATTGTGTAATTAACAACCCCTCCTTCTTAAGACTATCGGTTCAAAACTGGAATCCTTTCATTAAACAACCACAGCAATTCCCTTAGCTATCATTCTAAACCGATACATGTAAACGATAACTACTGATGACACTTGCTGATGAAAATTACAGCATCAAGCAGCATCAATCAATACACTATTGCCTTCTTCATCCGTAAACATTTTACATAAGCAGATTATGCATGGCAAGTAGAATTTCAAAGCTTGCTTTCAAGCATTAGGTATTGCTACAGTGTTGGATAAGAACTAAAAAATTCCCATATAGTTGAGAATACAACATAAAAATAGTCTTCAAGTCCCATTATCTTATGTTATCCCACCACACACTATTAGAACAGGATCATCCATATCATTTGTCCATTAACCTCAAAATCTCTTTTGGCAGGCATCTGATTCACTTTCTTTTTTTACTTCTCGCATATCCATTAACTTTATATAAAGAATGATACTCTCTGTATATCAGTTTAATTCTTAACTAAACAATAATCAGCATAGTTGACGATTGATGAGCAATTTCCATTATGATATTTGTTTCTTTTACCTTGGAATCAGTTCCAATCTTCTCCTTGCATTCTTCACAGGTGTTGGCAAATTTGTCAACATAGCACTTGATGCAGTAGGGTTTCTCCTCCTTGAGAATGTACCTCTGGCCTGTCAGAGAGTTGTCGCAGGTAGCGCATGCGAAGTGACCACTATGCCAGTCTTGTTCCATGGCTTTAGTATATTCTCCTGCAAATATCAGCTGAAATAAAAAAAAGATTTTAGTAAATTTTATTTTTAAACTCCGTATANAAAAAAAAAAAAAAAAAAAGAAACTAAAAAGAAACTACATTCCTTTCTCAAATCATCACTGAAAGTTGCCAAGAAAAATCATACATAAATTTAGAGTAGATTCTGACAAGAATTGAAAATTTTACCCTACGCAAGGTAAAAATATATTTCAGACATAACACATACTTTAGCAGATTAACACTCCAAGTAGGTCACACAAAGTATGTCATTCATTTCCTTTAGCTCTACCCACATCCCACCAAACTATGGAATGATAATTTTCTCACGTACATGACTACATAGCGGGTAGACTAGAACAGTAATAAAATAATGTGTCCCAGCACAGTTAATATCAGTAGTTATTGAGCCATAGCAATTACAATATATGCTGCTGACAAGTAGGCTAAAATAAAATAACAAAAAAATACCTTGGGGGTCTGTATTGTGTAAAGGTGGACCGCCTCTATAAACACATCACACTGTATACACTGTAGTGCACAAAATGATAAAGAGTTGAACTTTTCTTGGAACAGACATATAACGGTGCTTATTATTAAATTTATTCTAAGGCAATTCTTTTGGGTAGTTAGTAATTTGATAGGTTTCTTCAAGAATTTTTAGCAACAAGAAAAAAGCCAAATCATGGGAAATCCGAAAAAAGTTGCTCTCTGTCAACCCCATGTCAAAGGCATTAATATACAGTATCTGTTAAAATACAGACAACTGCTCATACTATAAACAAATACTTATAACAATGAAATGAAAACAGACAGATCTATAAGTAGTACACTGTTTGTAGATTGTGCACATCACATGCCATGATGTCGACATCAGCTTGGTGCACACCTGTAGGCCGAACTGGTTGTCAAGTCGTTAAATATGCCACAGCTTTATGTTGCTGATACCTGTTTACAGCTTTTAATCACCTACCAGCACATATATATCACACACAGACAGATGATAAATATGTTAAACTAAAATATTGCTTGTGTTAATTTATGTCGGTAAAATTTAAAAACAAGCCTCAAACTGTTCCTTTTTTAAGCATCTTGGAGTTGTTTTCTTCTTTTTAACTTCAACTGATTTAATTTTTTACCTGTCTAGTTTGCTTGTAATTAAGCTTTTCTAGAGGCTTTAAATGGTTTGAAAACTTTAAATTTGGACTCAACTTGGGTATAATACTTCTTGTGTATTACCCACCTTGATTTAACCTTGAAATCTGTTTTTCTTTCTTTAAGAAATATATCCTGAATTGTACAACTGCTCTGCTTTCTTTTTCCTATGTGCCACATGTATGAATCCCACTATATTTTTCCACAAGACTAATCCATTCACATGATATTTTCCTCATGATTCACTATACCCTTTGGATGTTTTTTCAAAACAACCAGTTCTTTTGTTTAGAAAACTAAAATAGGATGTAGACATATCCTAATCCACAGCTAGTGTTTCTCACTTGCCTTGATGCCCCTTCTATGATTCACAACTGAAATAGGATGGTGCAGTTTACCAGTGCACAGGGCTCAACATGGGTAAAACCACAACACAGTGCAACTGTAAACCAGGTAAACCACATGTTCCTAATGCTGCACACTATACCAAATGCCACAGAAAAGTATGCAAAACAGGAAATATATTTGTCCTCAATTGGACAAAAGTATAACCACAGGGTTACCATGCTCTAAATGCTTAGATCTTTAGCTTAATATGTTGTTAACAATATATCACCTCAAAGCAATGGGAGCAAAAGCCAGACCTGCACAGAATACATGTGTAGAGTTGGAAACTCTGTTACTGGTATAAGACATGACAGTTGGACTCATTTTTTACTCTAAAAGTTCTTTAAGAATAATGATCATCATTCATGTCCTGACATTTTAAAATAGTAAATTGCTTCTTTCCCTTGGAAAGTTTATCAATATTCTATATTCACTGTTGTTATATACATTAGTTCCATAAATACACCCCTGCTAATGATAATGTACAAATATATTCTGTTCTTTTCATTCAAATATATTCTTCAGGGGTAACACTAGCAACCATGTATAGGTGTTTATTTTGACAATGTCAAGTTACGGTTTTATACTCTTTCATAGGCAAACATTTTTGCATTTGATCAATTTGATGTAACTGATCATACTACCCACTTGTTATTCTTATCATGCCACACACCTTTTACCTCCTGTTCCGGCCCCAGCAGGCTCTTGTATAGTCTGACAGAAAGCTCAGTATCCTTATGCATAAGCATTATTTGTTAAGACATGAAGAGTAATGAATGTCATTTATGTTGCCTGGTATTCAATGAAAAGATGCTACTTGATGCCTAATGGATCTGATTTAATTATCAAAGATGGCTTAGTGTTCTCATTAAATTCAAATAACCATCTCTAGATCTCTTGACTTACAATGAGAACGTTGAATAAGATGGGGAGGATTTGCACAAACCACAGCAGTGTTTGATGAAAACACAATTATCCAGGCATGGTTCACATGAACAGGAATAAATCCTTGAACCAATGGTGTCTTGCGTGTACTCAAGCATTAATTATACATGTATATATTCCAATCAAGTCACCTGTCATACCCCATGAACAAATACTCTGCCTCCTTACATATCTTTTCTACCTGTATGCCACATGTTGCAAGTATACATGCACTTCCCTTAAAAAAAACTAAAATTCTGATCACAGATGGGAATTAAATGTTGTGCAAACAACCTCACCTATTAGTTCTTATGAGCTTCAACATTTGTAATATGAATTATTAGACATCTTGATGTCTTTCTAATGTCTATTGTTACTAAGGAGTCCCTGTTCATGCTAAAATATCTTTTAGGCACAAGTCGGCATCGCAAACAATCCTGTGTCTCAGCACCCTATTTCCCTTTATATCCATGCTGCATGTTGAGTTTTGCCATGTTCAGTAGAAATTTATAGACTAAGTATGCCAGCAGGGATGCTAATTTAATAGATATTGAAATCCCACTTAGCTCTGGAGAGCAGTTAGTAATTATTATGGAATATTGCATTATACAAAGTTATAGAGATGGGACAAGAGAAAGATCTAAGAGACCGATATTTGAAAGTAGCATGGGATTCATCACAGAAGAAATACATCTTCATTCAGCTTAAATCTAATTTGCAAGCTCTGAGCAGATAGAGTTTTATTTTGTTACTGTTCTGGGGCATAAACAAATTTGGATCTTAAAATCTAAGGGGCCATTCAGAATGGAATATCCAATTATCAACTGGTCCAAGGCTCAAATATGGTGGAACCTACATAAAAGGAAGACCGCTTAATCCTGCCTCTCACACGCATCATCCCTGCAGGGACACAGTAATTAAATCTTCGCTCCAATCGACCAGATGCGTGGGGAGGCGTGTGAGAGCCAGAGAGACCATTACAGGATTAAGCAGTCTTCCGTTCGTGTAGGGTCCACCATATTTGAGCCTTGGACCAGTTGATTCTCGGATCTTCTATTCTGAATAGCCCCTAAGACAGCTGGATTAATAAATGCAATTATAACTGATATCATCTCAAGAGACATGGTTTTAAATCCATATTTTGCTCAAAATTTGTCAATATGATGACATTTTCTTTTCTGCAACTTATATTTTATGCATTTTATTTGTTTCTGAACAAAAAGAGCACAATTTTCTTTTCTTTTTTTTTATTTTTGCAAATCAAACTGAAAATGTATGTTTCACTGCATAAACAAAAAAATTCTCACTTTGAATCCTGGTATCTCTCTATATCAACCAATCAAGAAATCAAAAGAGTAGAAGAAACATAACATGAAAAATGCAAACTGCAGCATTTTATGAGTGTCCACTGCACCCGCTACATCATAATACTAAAGATATTGGAAACCAGGAGACCTGAACTATGTTTGTTAAGAAATAAATCCCTTAAGTAATCAATATTAAGGTTTGGATGTCCATTTTATTAGCAAGAGATGGAATTTAATAGCCAAGAAAATGCTGGATGCCAATAATCTGCCTGCCATCTCTTGGTCGTTAGAACCCAGAAAGATCTATGGCCCTACCATTCTATTCAATGAAATGCATCAAGATGTGCAAAGAACTCACAAAGGAGATTTTTTCAGCAGTGGCATACAATAAAGAGAATTTGTTCTAAATCAATTCATGGTATAATATTAATATTACATTTCTCTTAATTGTGTGTTTTTTTTTTTTTTTTTTTTGAATATCATCTTTTCTTAAGTTTTTTTTAAACACTGCAAGGTGTTCTCTTTCTTTTTGAACTTTATACTTTAATTTAAACCTACTGTAGAATCCGAAAAACTTTATCTCAGAAAATGCAGTTGAAACCACACATCACTACTTCCTTGTGATATAAATTTCTGATTTCCTCTGCTTTAGGTGAAATCACAAGTCTATTTAAGCTGTTTAATTGCATGCACACTACTGTGAAACAATATATGCAGCTCAATGAGCTTTTTTAGTGGAGTTGGAGTCCAAAATGTAGATCCCCCATCCAAAGCCTTAGTAAATAATGTTGCTAAAAATACTCCAATTAAATGAATTTATCATTATAATTAAAAAACAATCTAAGCTTACATTCTTTTTATGTTCGCTCTACTCAAAACTGGATCATTCATTTCAACAGATTTATTGGTTAATCTACATCTGTCTAAATAAATAGCAGCATCAGATCTACAGTATGGTACTAAAGTGCATCATTGTAATGTGAAAATTTTGCATACTTACATCTAGGCAACAACATTAAAAAATAATCCTTAATTCACAGTATGAGTGAAAACTTATCCCAACCATCACCTGCAGTTGGACAGCTACATGCTAATCTATGTGCAAGCTTGCTACTGCATCCCCATTCCATTCAAAGCACTTTAATTTGAAAATGAAAACAAAAATAATGAGAACTACATGTAGCAACAGCAGACAGTCTCAGAACTCAACTCCTACAAGTGGTATTGGCCTACTGCACTTA